AGAGAGAGAGGGAGAGAGAGAGAGAGAGAGAGAGAGAGAGAGAAATGACCTTGGTGGGGGACTTATGGAAGTTGGAAAGGCGAGGATGTGTCTAAATGGGAGGAGACACTGCTGTGAGTCTTTATATTTCTTTTGGCTTTCTGTCAAGTAGAATTATCTGCCAACTCCCTTTATCTTTTCCCACAATAAGCAACCTGGTTGCCCAAACATTACTCATCCACATTTCCAAACCCACTACTAAAAATTTCAGGAGGAGCAGGAGGAAGAGCTTTTTAAAAAAAAGATTGTGTCTTATGTCTTATCTTTTCTTTCTCATAACAGGGTACAGAAATATAAACTTGTGCAATTATAGATAGACTATGGTTCAACTTTAATCCCTAGGTTTTGTAGATTAAGAATATGATTAATGAAACATTATCATTAAAAAACATTGCCAGGGCTGGAGGGTGTAGCTCAGTGGTAAAGTGCTTGCCTAGAATGTATGGAACCCTGGGTTTGATCCTCAGTACCACAAAAATTGTGTTTATTTTATAAAGACATTTTCATGCTATACAGTCCTTAGAGTACAAATTTTATCTTTTTGGAGCCAAAACCACAGTAGAAATGGATGACATTTAACACATCAGAAAATAAAAGGCTAAATGTTTAGTTGTCATTTTTTATTTTCACATTTAAAAAATATTCATTGAGTTTTAATGCACATAAAGTAGAATGTACCCTTTTGTAGCATAGAGCTCTATTAATTTGGACAAATTCCGTTGTGTAGTGACCAGTAGAAACAATCACAGAATACTTACATCATTCAAGAAAGTTCTTGTGAGTCCCTTTGCGGTAATTTTGCCCTCCCCTTCCCCTGTGGCAACTTGATGTTTTCTAGCCCTCCAAACAGACCTTTTCTGGAGTGTCATGTAAATGGGACAGCGTATGTGGCCTTTTGAATGTGGTTTCTTTCACTTAGGATCATGCCTTTGAACTCCAGTCAGATAAATTTTAGTCAGATAAAGAATTCTGAGGGCTGGGGATTTAGCTCAGTGGTTCCACCCCCTGCCCTGCAAGCACAAGGACCCAAGTTCGATCCCTGGTACCAAAAATATAAAATAAAATAAAAAAAAGAATTCTGACCAGAGGAGATCCTGGCTAGGGTGAGGTGTGCAGAATATATAGAAGAGGCAAAGCTTAATAGCAAGTACAACTATTCCATAACACATTTGTATTTGTCTCAAATCAGCATTACTGAATATGAAAAGTTTTATTTCTTTAAAATAAGGAGAGTGGCTATCTCAGATTATGAACAGTGCAATAGATTCCTGGGACTTGGGCAATGGTATTGGATAATTGGAAAGATACTGTTTCTGAACAGCAGTCAGTATAACACCATATACACAATAGGAGCTCAGTGTTCTTATCCCACAATAGCTGTTTCCGGGCTCTACAATGTGGAATACTGGGACTTCAGTGGACAAGAGCAGATCGGTCCCAAGAAGGCTGGCCAGTACAAGTAAGTATGCACATACGAAGAGGCACAAGAACTGAAATGGAGCATCTCTAGCTATGGTAGTTTTTGGTGCCAAGTTGGTTAGGGAAACTTGACTGTAGAGAAGTCCATCCCCTTTGCAATATGGCTCCTATAATTAATTTTAGAGGGTAGGGTATATCCAGTAGAGGGAGTCCCAACCAAATGACATGGGAATCAGAGCTCAGATTCTGGGGAAAACTAGAACTCAAATCAAGAAGGGTACCGAGAAAAGCTGCTACTTGGTGGACATGGGTAACCCAGGGAACCACCATGGAATACAATTTTAAGGGCACCCCGTTCCACTCAGAGAACTCCCTAGCACAGCAAGAGTACTCGGTAAAGTCAGTGTAATTCTTATTGGGTGAGGGATGTGACTGGGTTGACCCTGACAATACTAGGCTTTTAGTTTTGGCCACCGGGAAAAGTTGGGGGAGAGCAGAGACATAGCAATGTCTCTTGGTCACAGGACACTGCCTGACAGACACCAAATAATTTTGTTGACTCTGATATGATTTTACTAAGTATTGAAAGATATCTCTGAAGCAGCATGACACTTTGGAAGAAGTAATAGAGTAACTGGGAAACAAATAAGGGTAGGCAAATGTGAGAAGTCAAGTAATCAAAAAATGCAGAATTCCCAATGTTATTTTTTGAGGTCTTATTTGAGATATTTCAAAATTTCCAGGATTGAAATAATTTGAAACCACAGAGCTTGAGGGGCTTCCCACATATTGTAATCGTTCAGAAGGTATAAGATTGGAGATTTGGACACTTTTTAACTGAAATTTCTCAAATTGGCCTGAGTTTATCCACGATAAGAAAAATTCTGACAAATTTAGATAGTTTGCATCAGTTAGAAAAGTTTATTGAAATTTGTTAGTAAATAAGAACAGAAAGTTTTCTTTTTTTCTATGAAAGAACACTTTTTGGTAGAGAGGAAATACAGAAATCACAAAACACCTTTAGACACCTTATTTTCAAGGGGTGAACCTGTTTTCATAGACCATAAAGACAGAAGTGTTTTCTTGGACATTTCATTTTTCATGCATCTGTATATAATGGTCTGTGTGAAGAGAGACTTTGCTCTCCATGCAGCTCAATAGTAGTGTTTCTTGGTTTCTGATTCAACCATAGATGAAAGCACTCTACCATCAGGTGTCACCTCTTCAATAATTGTCTTGATCAATCTGGTTTTGTTAGTATCTGTGTGAATAAGGAAAAAATAAAATTTAGATTAAGCCACTTTTAGGGATTCTTGCTAATTAAAAATATATTAAATTTCTTAAAAAGGAGAAAACCCTCAACTTTTTCTTTTTCTGTTCTTTTTCCTTTTTTTAAATCCAAGCAATATTAAAGCGGTAGGCAGCATTTAGACCACCAGGCTACTTTTCCTTCAAGACTGGTGTCAGAGTACAGATTGTTTAAAAACACAAATGAAAACCATCTATAAGATTTTCATTTTAAAAGCAACCCCAGAGCTTAAAAAGCAACACCACCATCAGAGAAGTTAAAACTGATTCTGATTACCCCAGCTAGTTTCTCCTGACCTTGGTCCCTTAGATGATTCGCCAGTGGAACCGGAAGAGGAGGACTTGAAGCCTCCACTTCCTCCCTGGCCTCCGCTGGAGCCGCCACCGACGCCTCCGGCACTAGAGCTGCTGCCACCGTAGCTACCCCCGTGGCCACCGCCGGAACTGCCTCCGTGGCCGCCGCCATAGCTGCCACCACCGCCGGAACTGCCTCCATGGCTACCGCCATAACTTCCGCCGCCGGAACTGCCTCCTTGGCCGCCGCCATAGCTGCCACCACCGCCGGAACTGCCTCCATGGCTACCGCCATAACTTCCGCCGCCGCGCCCGCCGCCGTGGCCGCCGCCTTGACTAGACGCAGGGAGAGGAAGGTCATACGAGGTTATCGCTGGCGTTGGGAGCGCTTGGGTCTCTGTCTGGATTATTGTTATTTTAGGAAATAAACCATGTTTAGAGAGAAATTCAACTCTGCCAACTACGTGTCAAAACCTATCATTTAAAAAGTTTTTATATACATATTCCAAAGAATCATTCTTGGGCCTAATGCTCAAGAACCTGGGCCTGTTTGCACATTCTATTCTGTACTCTGCGTCCTCGGTCCAACACCCAGCACCACACACACATTTCCCCCCACTTTCTGGCATTTTCTTGAGGTTTGGGTAAGCCTTCCTGCCCGGAATATTGAAAGAAAGCAACTGGCATAAGTTTTCAACTTTGCTATTTACCTTCCCTCTCCTTCTAGCAGGCTGCGGTAGGTCTGAATTTCACTCTCCAGTCGGATCTTGATGTCCAGGAGTTGTTGGTATTCAGCGTTCTGGCACTCGGTTTCAGCCCGGATCTGTTGCAGCTGTTCTTCCAGTGCAGAGATCTGGGCTTGAATCTGTGAGAGCTGCACGCAGTAGCGGCCTTCTGTTTCGGCCAAGGAGGCTTCCAGGGATTGTTTCTGAAAAGAGGATATTATTGTTGCTTAGCGACCCCTTTCGATTGAGTGTAGTGAAATTTATTTAGTAAGACATCATGTAGAAGAATAAAGCAAACGAGTAGAATTTATTTTATATTTAATGGCAGCATTCGATTTTAGCGCCTTTACACCCATGCTAACTGTTCTTTGCCTTCACACCCCAACCCTGCATGAACATGAAGCTTAGTATGATAAAGGTGGAATCTTTTCAGAAGACATACCAGGGCCAGTTGGGACTGTAATTCGATCTCCAGACTTTGAACAGTGCGTCTCAATTCAGTAATTTCAGTTTTAATGCTGGACATTTGTTCAATGTTGCTGTCAATTTCTGTAGTTAATTCCTTGCTCTACAGTATTAAAAACAGGGGAAGAGATGTGAAAATCGTGACATAATAACAAAACCTCCCTGGACTTTACCATGAAGGGCAGTTAACTTACCTTTTCATTGAACCAGGCTTCAGCCTCTTTACGGTTTTGTTCAGCAAGTTGTTCATATTGGCTTCTCATGTTATTCAGAAGTTCAGTCAGATCAACACCCGGGGCAGCATTCATTTCCACATTCACATCGCCAGTGGACACATTTTGAAGGTCTTTCATTTCCTGTTTGAAGAACAAAAAGATTTAACGAGTGCACCATGACCACAGTGAACTTTTTTTTCTCTGGAGGAGATGAAATTTTGTGTCACCTCTTCATGATTCTTCTTCAGGTACTGCAGCTCTTCAGTCAGGCTCTCGATCTGCATCTCCAGGTCAGACTTGGTGAGGGTCAGCTCGTCCAGCACCCTGCGCAGCCCATTGATGTCAGCCTCCACGCTCTGGCGCAGGGCAACCTCATTCTCATACCTGAAAAAAACGTGATTCAAATAAATTCCAGGTGTGCCTGGATAGAAACTGTCTAAACAGAAAACATAGAGTTGATTTCATAGCAGGGCAACATTGATCATGTACTAATTCACATAGTAATATTAGTGGTTTAATGCAAAGAAGGTTAACAGTCACTTTAAAATGCATTCTTCCTTTAAATATGGTCAAAAAGGTGACATTGAAATTGAAAATTTCTCAGACAACTCCAATGCTAATTCACTGTGGATAAATTCAGGGAAATGCAAATATTATTGTGCATATCCAAAGCCATCATTCAAAATGACTGATGTACATGCTGTGGTAGTGTTCTACCACAGCCACTTAGCTTACTTCAGCCTGAAGTCATCAGCTGCCAGTCTGGCATTGTCAATCTGAAGCAGGACATTGGCATTGTCAGTTGTTAGGCTCACGATCTGGAGGGAGAGATAAGTTATTTACAAAAATGTCAGCTGCTGACATGGTTTTTATAATAGCATAGATGAATTCATTTTTATGTTGTTCCCCTCCATGTTTTGGGGAGATTATTAAGAATACAAAGTACCACAAGCTTACCCATGTACTTAAATTTGAATCATTCTCTTGAAACTTCTATTCTGTTTCTGTGCCATCCCTTTCCAAAAACTAACTGCAATTACATGGTTGTATTTCTGCAAGTGCCCTCCTCCTTTTTTACAGTGCTGGGAATTGAACCTGGGACTTCATGCATGGGAAGCAAGTGCTCCACCATTGAGCTGTATCCCCATTCCCTCCTGTATACTTTGTGATTTTCATGTAGGGTAGGGAACTTTTAACTGACTCACACCTGTATTTGTTTAATTTGTATAACTACTTCCAAGTATGTATACTGTGAACTGGTAGGGGCAATTAAGTTTTCCTGGAGGCAAACAATACCCCATTTTCATAATGGACAATTCATGTTTCTTGCATTTTGGTATTGAATATGGCTTGTTATCAATCTCAATAATATTTTGCTCTTATTCATTTAATCTTCATGTTCCTAAATTTGTAAAGGATCTAGCCTATTTTAAGTAGCAATTCATTATATTCTCATTAAAAATTACAATATTTTCAGTAATATCCCACCCTATAAGACAACAAGCATGCTGGGTGAAGGTTGCCACGACCATACCTTCAGAAATACTTATCTTTGATGAGACTGGATTATATTTAGAAGCAAGAAAGTAAACATAAGTAAACACAGTGGGCAGCCACATTATGCTTAATTTAAGATTCAGCTATCAGTGTTACATGGATGGAAGTGAAATTGGATTTAAAAATGCCCCTTACCTGATTTTTAAGCTCCTCAATGGTTTGGTAGTATTTGCTGTAGTCACGAGGCTCCCGCCGGCCTGAGTTACCATGCTTTTCATACCACTCCTTGATTTTCCCTTCCAGCTCATAGTTGGATTCTTCCAGGGCCCGAACTTTGTCCAAGTAGGAAGCCAGGCGGTCATTCAGATTCTGCATGGTTACTTTTTCATTTCCAGAGAGAAGGCCACCGTCGCCAAATCCACCAAGGCTTCCATAGCCACTACCACCGAAGCTGCCGCCACCGAAGCTTCCTCCTCCATAGCCCCCGCCAAAGCTGCCACCTCCAAAGACTCCACCAAAGCTACCTCCACTGAAACCTCCTCCTAATCCTCCATAGCCACTTGAGGAGCCCCCAAAGCAGCCTCCCCCAGAGCTCCTGCGGCTGAAAGAGCTGCTGCTGAAGCCCCCTGAGCTAAATCCTCCACCAAGGGATCCTTTGCTGCTGGAGATTCTGTGGGTTGACCCTCCACCACCTCCTCCACCCCCACTGCGGGAGGAAGAGTACTGCTTGCTCGTGGAGGTGTACCGAACAGACATGGTGATGCTGTGGAGCTCAGGGAGTGCCTGGCACCAGGACAGGGACAAGCCTTTATATACCGAGAGGGCATCACACAGGAGGTAGGGTTTGCTTACTTGCATGGTTTTGTTTTGCTAACTTAGCATCTTTGGCTTGTGATTGCATAGATTATCTTCAGTAATAACCAATAGTGATATGTGCTTTTGAATTTGCCCTAAGAACAAGCAGGAGATTTGCAATGTTGAAATTGGAAATGGGTGGAGTTCGGATGAGCCTGTGCTTTATGATGCTTTGCACGTTTTGAAGAACATTGAGCAACTCTTCAAATCCCTTTTTCTCAGCACAAATTCAGGCTACACAGAATGTTTGCAAGCTTTGGGGAAAAAGTATTTTAGCTGTGCAAGTATGATTAAAATAAGATTTTGTTTTCAAATTGGTATTTGAAGTAGTTTTAATTAATTGGAGCAGTGAATGGCATTAAATCTACCAGAAGTATAGTAAAGGAAGAATCTTGTACAAAACTGTAACCCAAAAGAAAATAAAAAATATGCTGAACAATTTTATTAGTGTTCAAATGTTGCCACATATGAAAAAGTGAAAACCATAAAGGAACAATTTGGGAAATTGTGTGTGTGTGTGTGTGTGTGTGTGTGTGTGTGTGTAAGGAATTGTTTAATTTATTCAGAGAATGCAAGTACATTAATATTTTGCCCAGGAAAATGGAAGTGAGCAATCGGAGCAAGCAAATTTAATGTGCCATTATCTTCAACTTTACAAAATCTGAAATTGTGAAGTTATTCTGGGTTACATTGCACTTTTAAGCTCCTCATAGTTAAGGCTCATGTGAAGGCCATGATGCAGAAACCCTCAGCTTCACTTCAGGGAGTGAAGAACTAACTTCAGTTTTTTTTTTTTTTTTGGTACCTGGGATCAAATTCAGGACCTTGTGCTTGCAAGGCAGGCACTGGAACCATTGAGCTAAATCCCCATCTTGTGAAGAACTAACTTCTAGTACTTCACGTTCCGATTGAAAAAAGGCGAGAGTTCAGGTATGTTATGATTGCAAGTAAAAATTTGCAAAAATAAAAATCCAGATTGGAGAGTGATACTTGCTCCAAAAATCATGCACTGGACTAGCACACATGTTCCCAAGCTAGGTTCTGTTACTCAACAAACAAATGAACAAGACACATTTCCTTGGATACACTAGTCACAGAAGCTGGTGTAACAGTTTGTCTAGTGAAGTATTTAGTTGGGACTTTAATACAGAATATAAAAAATTTTATAACTCCCATAGGCCATGACATTGCTATTGTTTAAAAGTATATTACGTATATTATATATATATTCACACACATTTTACTATTTAGTAATGCTTTATGTGATACTGTGATTTAGAAATCTGGAACAAGCTGCTGAGATTGTGGTTATTATCTATAATTTATAGAATAGGAAGCTGAAGCTGAGAGAAGTGATGCTTTTTCCTAAAGATAAATAATAGGTGGCTGCACTATGATTAGAGCTTGGTTCTTTGGCTCCCAGATTTTGGATTTCCTCTACTCCATATCTATCTATCTATCTATCTATCTATCTATCTATCTATCTATCTATCTCTATATCTCTGTATATATATATATATATATATATATATATATATATATATATATGTATTGGTGGACTTAGCCTTGCAGAACTGAATGTCTCATTTCTTTATAAACTCCCCATGGGAAAAAATGAAACAAAAATAACTTAGAAGCATAAAAATATTGAAAGGGTAGGGATTGGAGTCACACTTATCCATTAGTAATTACTTTTTCAAGTTTAGTTCATAGCTGCATATTCCAGTTCCTAAAAGTAACCGGAGAGCTTTCTGCAGGGAAGAAGAATGTGGTTGGGAAGATCCTCAGAGTAGTGGTTACTGCATAATAATTGCAGCTCCTGAAACTTGTTAGCACATGTAAGTGGTGCAGTAGTGAAAGGGGGGAGAAGAAAACAACCATGGGAACTGATTCTTGATGGAGATAGCATACAGTAGAAGAAAGCAATGACAAATCAGAGCAGAAAAAGAAAGGGTTCAGAGAAGATACCGAAGCCTTGATATTAGTGAAAGTTAATTGGAAGGAAAAATTTAATTTAAAAGAATTTTTTGATTGATTTTATTGGCAATTATCACAAATTTTGAATCTGACTAGTTTTACTTTAATATTAAGCTGTCATTCCCCAACCCCAGTGGAAAGTATACAGATTTCAGGCTAGATTCAGACAGTTAAGAAGCGGTAGGGAGAGGTCTGTGGCAATCATGTTAAGCCAAAGAAGACACCATTTGCCCTTGATTGGCATGGTCCACAGTGACTGATGTCGCTGTTCTCAGTTTTTATCGTGTGTCTGTGTAAGATATATTGGTAGGTGTGTAACAGATAGTGAGGCTCAGATCTTGTCCTTAAATAACTTACCAGTCATTAGAAACTAATTGAAGATAAATGGCAGGCACTGTTGACCTAAATGCTTTGTAAATGGTAAATGACTCCAGGGTTTGGGGGAGGGCGTGTTCAGATGATTTACTCTCTTTCAGTCCTCCCCTAAATTCTCTAGATAGGTATTATTTGCCTCACTTTTTAGCTGGAAAAAAAAAAGACAAAGCCTTAGAAGGTTTAAGGAACTTTCCCAGAGTAGGGCAGCCAATGTGTGAGAGCCTGGTTTTGAATCAGGCAGTGCAGTTCCCTAAGATTATAGCATTCATGACACCGATCTGGCACTGTGAAGAATGAGTGACGTGCCAGGTGAGGATGAGACCCTCACAGAAATTCATGGTGCCGGTGGGATTCATTCTGAGTCTTGAAAAGGATGAGTAGGATGTTTCAATGTGTGCAGCAGCAGAGAAAGAACTATTCTAGAAAGTGGAGACTGAGCATACCAAGCAGGGGGAGGCTCCCAATGGGCCATTTTGGCTGGAACTGATCGTCCATATTCATTCATTTATTCATTCCGTCAACAGGATTTATTGAGCCCGTGGAACATGACCTGGGTCTGTGTGGGTGACTGTGCCACAGTTCCTGCCTCTCAGGAGGTTTACAGTTTACTTGGAGAGGCGGACAAAGTGCTCAAGGAGGAGAGATAATAATACAGAGAGGGGTGTAATTGATGGCTTTGGTGTCCTCCTTCCAGGTAGCTGAGGAATTAGGACAACTAAGATACCGTTAGGTCTACGTCTTCTCATTGGAAACTTACATTCAGTGATCTGAAATCTACAGGCAATCTTAGATCACACAATTTCTCTGAAACTTCTGGGACTGCTTTGAGGGAAGCCACAGAACCATGGGAACTGCCTGAAGATGATTTGGAGCAGCACAGTAGAGTGACCACGGGGGCGGCTCTAGACTGAGACTGCTTGCATGACAGTGTGGGCTTCACCACTTAACTACGTGGCCTTGTCTCTTTCCCTCTTGAAAACAGGAATACTAATTTTGCCCGCCCTGTTGAATAACACCGGGACTCAAACGAGTTCATCAATATGAAGCGCTTGGAACGGTGGCTGGCATATGCAGAATAAGAGTTTAACAATTTTTAAATTATTGCTCTTGCTGTGGTCTGTGTCTTAGGGCCTAACCCACTGTCCAGCCCACACTAGGCCTACAAAATATGAGCGAATGAAAAGATAGAGTAGAAATTGGGAAATGGCCAATGGGGAAGAACAAATCAGCTGAAGAGGAGAGAAGGGGAACGTGGGATGGGATTGAGTCTGATAATTTTGGGGTGATACTTGCTCCCTTTCCCTATTTCCTCCATCTACTAAGTCACCAAGTTTGTCACTTTTTGTCACATCTGATCTCTCTCTCTCTCCCTGTCTAATGTCACCGCAAACACCCTAATCCAGGCTTTTGCTGTGTCTGCCACGATTACCTCGCCGACTTCTGAAGTGGTTTTTGTTTGTTCTTCTCTACGCCAAATGGGCTCTGTGCTGTATGCAGTGGCGTGATTAACATTTTCAAAGCAGCATTGTCATCACTCTGTCATCACACTCAAGCCTGTGCGGATGGATTAAGTTCTTTTCGTAAGCTTTTCCTCCCCAGTCTGTCCACCCTTGTGGCCCCTGCGGAAAGGGTGGCAGAGCGAAAGACAGCTGCAGCCGCCTCTTAAAGTAATTATGTGGCCTTGAGCAAGACCCAGGGCCTTTCTGCATCTCAGTCTACTGTCCCATAAAATACAGACAGTAACAACATTAAATGTTAAATACGCATAATAGTAATCCATGATCCAATGGGGGAGAGATGTAAGCATTTTTTTAAAAAAAAATCTTTTAGTTACAAGGAGGTCTTTGTCTTCTCCGGCTAAGACACTATGCATGGTTCCATTTTAAGGCTGTTGTTGTTGCTTTTGGCTTGTGCCTTTTCCCTCTACTTACTTGGCTTATTCAAATCATCCTACTTTAACTTCAAACTCTAGTTTAAATGATGTCTCCTTCATTAAACCTCTTAGTCTAGTTCACAGCTGTGTCTTTCTTCTCACTTAAGGTGTTGTGCAGCCTAGTATGTTATAATAAGTTCTAAATTCTGGCCTCCTCAGTGTTGTTCCCAGTGGGTAAGCTGTGACACTGACCTTTCTTTCAGGCAGAGAGAGTGTGTTACATTCTTGCTGCCCCCGGTGAGTACTCCTTTTTCTCTGAATGTTTTTGGCTCATCTCAGTGTCTCTTCCTACTTTCTTTTCTTGCTGCTTATTCTGTACTCTGAACTTTCGTCCTGTATGTTCTGGCAATTGTGCAAGTTAAAAATTTTAAACAAAGGCTAATTGAAGATGACTAACTTGATTTTACTTCAAGAGAAATTACGATACTTTTAGATTTGAGAATGTTGTGTAGGAATGACAAGAAAACCAGAATTCTACATAGGAATTTTAAGATACCTTAAAGTCTCTTAGGATAGATATACGTTATATAAGGAGAATGGTTTGGGCCTTACTTCTTCCTCTCTAGTACAGGTTGCTTTTTCGGTCTTGAGTCTGTTGAGATACAATACTAGTAACATGCTAAAATGTATCTGTAATGAGATCCTCGAATTTGAATTTTTTTCTCATCTTTGGAGTATCTACAATTC